TAAGATTTAGTTAAATGAGTGGACATATATATATATATATATATATATATATATATATATATATTGATTATATGAAATTGATTATTATTTAGTTGATTGATATTTAATTAATATTTTTAAAAGATATGACAATTAAGATACATATTTAATTAAAGTGAACATTGATTATATAATTGTGTCAAATATAAAGAAATAAAAAGAGAAAAATATGTATAATAGTAAAATAAAAAACTCTATTTGATTGAATTAAATTATAAAAGTGATAATTAATGAATTTTATTAAATAAAATTTGAAATTAAATATATTCGATGCATCAATTAATCAATCAAACACCATTATAATATAGTCAAATAAATTTAGTTAATAAGTATATTGTATATATCAATGAATTTTCAATAAAATATAATTAGCATGAAATTAATATTTAATAAATTTTCAATAAAATATAATTAAAATAAAACATTTATACTTTGTAGTCGAAGCCAAATTTTAATTTTGACTTTATTGGAGATACTAAAGTTTAAAATAGTTAAGAGATCTCACAATGAATTTTAATATTGTTATCATATAAAATTTAAAAAGATGATTTATAAACACTATCAAATATATCTTTAGATGAATTAGTTTTAATTTTATATTTATATTTTTTTGTTGATTATGTTAATTAAAATTTAATTTTAATTATTATTAGTAAATATTTTTTTATAAGTTATTATATTTCTATATGAAATTTAAAATTTATTAAGAAAATTCTGCTAATAGATAAAGAAATTCACTCAATGAATACCTTTCACTAAACGAATTATAAAAGACTTTAAAATAAAGGCTAAGCTTCGTTAAATGAAAAGTCTTCACTAATAAGAGAGACAAAAGCTCATTGACCGAATATAAAAGACTACTTAGAGAGGAAATAATTCACTTAGCCAAATAGTTTCATAAAAAAGAGATTAGAAGGTCTCAAAACCATCTACCAACTTAGTGAAAAATGATTCACTTAGCCAAGATTCATGGTGTTCATGGTATTTTGCTAAGAGAGATAATGTCTTACTAAGTGAAAACTCATCGTTTAAAAGAATTTTAACTTTTGTTCTTCATGAAGATTCACTCAACAAAAATGGTTTGTTATGCAAAAAAAAAAAACCTAGAAACTCACCATTAACAAGGTTTTCTAAAACAAAATACACTCCTCTTTGAGTCAAAAACACCCAAACCACCTACAAAATCAACAACTCAACTAGAAGCCACATGCAACCATAAACAACAGCGGACCAACCCTTTCTAAGGTAGAACTAGAAATCCAACCCCTCAAGAAAGAGAAATCAAACAAATAAACATCATCACTATAGTTACAACACAAAGGGTTAAGAATTAAGCTTCCCTTACGTCAAAAATAGTTTCTTATTATGGCTAGAAAAGAAGAGAGAGAGAAAGAGAAATGTCCCAAGGTTGGCTCCTAACCTAATCTTTAGTTTTAGTTTCTCTTCAACAATTCTGTACTCTTAAAATCCTCCTTGAACTATTTAGACTTAAATCTTCAATTTGGTAAAAATCAAATGCTTATATAAGGATAATTAAGGAGAAGAAAATGTCTTCTATAACTTTATTTCTCAAGAATTTTGAATATGAAACTTATTAAAAATTCTTTTTTCCTCCCCTCCATAATCTCCTTAACCATCTCTTTTCTAACTCTACCATGTTCTACACCATAATATTCTAATTCGGCTCAAGGATCTTGTCTATACTAATCCTTAACATCACCCTTTTTTCTCACAATTTCAAGCAACATATTTGAAATTCTCATTTTATAAACAAAATTTATAAAAGTTCAAGAAATTCATATAATATTAAAATAAAAATATGTAATCACACATAAAACTCATGTAAAACAACATTGTTATAGTTTATACGAAAATATTCTCTAATCTACAGTTGAAGTTTAATTCCTTCGAGACGTAAAAAAATCATTAAGTGTATTGATTTTCCCAACTATATTTTCTCATGTCTAGAAACTGAACTCATGAATATAAACGAATTAAATAATAATAGAAGAGTTATATAATATAAAAAAATGTAGATAAATATAAAAAAAAATCAAAATTATTACTTTTTACACCTTTATTAATTTTGAATAATAGTGTTTGTAACGGAGTTAAAACTAATTAAAAGGCATAAAATATTAAGTATTAACTGATTAAATTATTTTTTCCTTTAATAAAATATTTTTAAAAAATAAATGTTTAAGTCACAAATATCACCAATTATAAAAAAAATGTTAATAAATTTAATAAATTATTTACCATATCATATAATATAAAATCAAAATTATCCATTCTTTAGCCTACATTAGCATTAACATTTAAACCTTTATATTAGAACTACAATTACATATTGTGACATACAAAAAATGTCACTATAAAAATAATATATCTAAATATATATCTATTTGGCATATAACTATACACAATTTTAGTATTGATTTTGAATGAGATTTAACAACATATTTTATGTATTACTATAATTTATACTCATATTTTTTAATAATATATCAATATATATTATATTTATTATGTAAGTAAAAGTAGTTTTTAGTGACATTTATTATGTCACTATAAAATAGCTCACTATACAGTAATTTCCTTGTATTGAAGGAAGATTCATCCACATAAAATTCAATTTTTGACCCGAACCTGAACCACATGCCAATGTCATGTTCATTTAGTCATTGGCTGCTCTTTCAGTTCCCACACAAAAAGCTTGATCAGAAGACTCTTCTCAAGACCAAGTCTCACGTTGACCATCTAATGCACCTGTCACTTTATTTACCTCTGAAAATTACCAATTTGTATCCCTACTACACTTGCAAAGTTACATAATCATAATAATAAAGTAACCAAAAAGTGTATCTTTTGGTAAGAGATTCTTATTTGGAATAACAAATACCAACTAAAATTCTGAATTTTGCTATAATATTCTTTTATTAGTCTTTTTATCTATTGAATAAAAAATATTTTTTAGAGGTACTCGTTTTATAAAAAAAAAGGATAAATTTAGTAAATTAGTATTCATTACCATTTTTTTTTATTAAAATCATTTTAACTAACCATGCTTATGATATATTTTAAGAAAATTAAAGTTATAATATGTTAATTACTTTTTTTTTAAAAAGTAAGTATACATTGATAAATCCCTTTTTTTACTGTCCATGTTATTAAATATATTTGTGTAATTATCTTCTTATGTTTTTTGTTCTTTTGTATTTTTCTCAGACAAAAAAAATATTAAGGGTAAAAGAAAGTTAAAAAGAATTAAAAGAGAAAACAGGAAAAACATAATCTCGTGTAAATTTACGCATTAAACGGGTCATGAAACTTTGGGAATCTTCCTTTCCAGTTCAACCCTTTTGACAGGGTATTGCTACCTTCCTCTCACACCATCGCCACTACCAACCACCCTCACCCCCACAACGCCATGGCATTCTAACTAATTATTAAATACAACCAAAAAAAAAAAGCTTTTTTTTTGTTCTAGTTGTCGCTTTTGGAGCTGGATCCCCTTGAATTCTTCACTTGACATGTTTTTGTTTGTGGGTTTGCTCGATCGTTTCAAAGGGGTCCGGCTTGTGTATGCTGACAAGCATTGTTGATACCACGAATCATTGCCTTTTAGTTGCTTGTGTTATTCCTTTCGTTTGGTTAATTGGGATGTGGAGAGATCCGGGAGTTTCAGCTGATTCTTTCTATGAAATTCGCCCTGAATGCACCGATGTTCCCACTTCTCGATTTAAGATCAAGGTACGTTTTTTTCTTCCCATTTTTCATTTTATATGTTTGATATATGTTTGTTTGGTATTGAGTTTTTTAATATGGGTGTCTTTGTTCATTGGTGAATGAGAAGTATTGGGTTGGTGGAAATTGGTGTTATGGTTGTATTTTATGAGCAATGCGTGTGAATTTTAGGTATTTTGAATGCATTTGGTTATTTAAGGATGTCAGGCACGCACATGGCTGTTATTTCTTTCTAAGCTATGTTGAGCTTGTTAAGTGGATAACTGGAAGAAACTTTTGTTCATTTGGGGGATGATGGATTGTTGGCCTTTACAAAGCTGTGAACAATGTTCTTGATGTTGGAATTTTGTCAAAGGGAAAAGAGTTTTTATTCCAGCTTTTAGGATATTGTATCTTTTGCTTGCTATGTTTTTCAAATTCAGTGATGTCAACTGTCTTTTTTAATCAATGAAATTGGGGACGGGAATTTATTGTAAAGAAATTACATATCATGACGGCTAAATTGAATGTAAATGATGTTGAGTATGTGATTGTCCCCAGTTGTATGGATACAATCCTGATTTTCATAGTAGTTGCGTGAATTAGAAGCACTTAATAAGTCCGATCATCAAGTTGAAGTTGATTTAGTGAAACACTCATTCTATTAAGACTTCCATTTTGTTTCTGCTGTATTAAATGATGCAGCATATGGACCGTTATCAAGTGCTTGATTTCTAAGTTACGTAAGTAACTTATAAGGGTATTAAATCTGAGTATGATCTTTTTGTTTAAACTTAAAAAGAGTCGTTTCTAACCAAGTGATTTAAAAAAAAAAAATTTATTTTAGAAGCAGATAAAAGTTATTTCTTAAAAAAAAACAACAGAAAACTATTTATTTGAAATAAAGAAGTTTCGACAAAAACATCAAAAAATAAAAATAAAAATGTTTATTTTAAAAAAACACTTTTATATGGAAAAAAGTTTTAACAAATGGACCTGTACACTTTGTGATTTATAACGGATCATGACTAGTAGCACATGATTGATTGTCCTTGTTTTGTTTTTGTTTTTGTTTTTGTTTTTTTTTATCTTACGAGACATTAAATAAAATTAATCAATTAGATGGTTCTATACCTCAATGCAAAAGTTATATGCCTTATTGCAGTTCTATGGCATATTTAGTTGGAAAAAAAATGCTATAATCTTTACCGGACATTGTTTGTCTTGAGTTCATTTGGGATCAAGTAGTTTTTCTTGCTTCTTTGTGGTTTTCTGCTCATAGTCTTTTATGGGGGAAGGTGTCTTTTTTAGATTTATAGAGAGATTACCATGTTGTGTTGTATATTACTTGTTCTCTTTTTTCCTTAATTTTTGGTTGCGGTTTCTTGATCATAAGAGAAACAAAGAAAAAAAGAAAATTATATGCCTTCAGCTGAGAACTTGTACATTTAGTTGAATTTCTAATCCAGTAACACTTATATAATGTATATTTATTTTTAATTTGTTGTTATATGGTCCAGGCTGGTAAAACACTAAGTGCAAGAAAATGGCATAACGCGTTTACTGCAGAAGGATATCTAGATATAGGCAAGACTCTAAGCCGAATCTACCGTGGGGTAATTTTTTTTATAGTTAAAATGCTGGTTCAATATGTTTGACAATATGGAATTTAGTCTGTCTCCTTCTTTCCGTTATGGTTGAGTTGGTGCAACATGGAACTATAGTTTGATGGTAAAACATAAGGGTATCTGCTTTGTATGGTTGAACTGACTATTGGAATGTAATTGAACTTTTTGTGTGGGTCTAATTTTCTCTCTTTAGAGCATGAGATTCCATTACCATGGCGGAGATTGAAGTATATACAGACAACTGAGTATCAGTTATGAATCAAACTGGCCATGTTCTACCTGCTGCAGATTTCAAGATAATGTTGAATGGGATAAATTGAAATTGCTTTTTCCACCCATTTTCATATGCATTCTTGTTGTGAAACAACTTCCTCCTTTTAGCAGGCTTTTTATGGAAAGTTTCCCATTCGGACTTGCTCCTTTTTTTTTTATTCAGACTTGTTTAAAAAAAAAAAAAACTTGTTTGTACTGCTTTTGTTTTGTTTTCTTACTTAAACCTCTTCTAAGACTTGACATAAACTTTACAATTCCATTCTAAGATAACAATTGAATGTAATGTAGGAAAATATTGTACTTTAGTATGATAGTAAGAAAACTAATGCAGAACACTCCTTATTAATCTATGAATGATAAACAAGGAAAGGAAAATGTTGTTCAATTTAGATTCAGAAGATTTGTCAACAATATGACAACAATTATTGTTTGGGAGAGATATCTTTTGCTGTTCGAGTTATACATCAAATTAGTCCTAGAAATTATTTTAGTCCTTATTGTTACAATTTTGAAGACTAAAATGACTGTCCTTTGGTAACTTCAAGGACTAAAATAACCATTATTTGATAGTTTCAGTGACTAAAATGACATTTTTATAATTTTAAGAACAAATTTGACTAGTGCTTATAATTTTAGGGACTAAATTGATGTATTACACTTTGTTTTTCAGATGAATTTTGTGTATTTATGCATATGCATACATATGCATGTACATAAAAATGTGGGTATAGTCATGGAAAGTTCTCCACTGATTTGTTTTTTACATAGTTAATCTTTTTTTCTTCATGATCTTGAGTAATGCATGAGCTATGCTGATCATATTATTTGTAAGTGGCCCAAAAGTTATTGAAGATTATGGTTTGTTATGTGCTCAAGTGCAAAGAGACAGTTTTTGTCTGTGTATGTGGCTGTGGTTGATGGTTGCTTAATTAAAATTTTCAAACCAGGGAGTCCATCCATCAATTAGGGGAGAAGTTTGGGAATTTCTACTTGGTTGCTTTGATCCCAAGAGTACATTTGAGGAAAGAGATCAGATAAGACAACGCCGAAGGTTATTGTTTTTCCCACTTAATGATTTTTTTTATAAGAATCCCCCCTTTTTTTTTAACCTTATCATCATTGCCACATCCTAAAACATTGAAAATTATTATGGGGCTTCACTTCTCTATTACCTTGGTCTTCCTTTTAAATAAAATTGCAATGAGTATAATATGTCACCACAGGCTTGATAATATGACAAGAGTTGCTTCCTAATCCTTTATACAGGGATAATATCTATATTTTTTGTAATATAAAGCGTTGGTTTCTAAATTACAAATCTAATCAATCCTTACTTGAATATCACTTTTATTTTTTATGTCATCAGAATGCAATATGCTACATGGAAAGAAGAATGCCGCCAATTGTTTCCTCTTATTGGAAGTGGTAGATTTGTCACAGCACCTGTTATTACTGAAGATGGTCAACCAACTCATGATCCGTTGGTTCTGAAAGAAATAAATCCAGCAAAGGAATTGGCTGTACTTCCACTAGATAATAATAGTCCTTCTAGAACAGATGCTGCAAATAATTTAGAAAAGGTGACAGACAAGATAGTAATCCAATGGATGTTAACTCTCCATCAAATAGGTTTGTGGATAATTTGTTCCCAATGAACTGTCTGTTGTATTTCAGCTATTATATTTTATCTATTTTCTTGGCCCGTATTGTCTAAATTTTAGGCAGAACCCTGCCCCACAATTATTTTCTTCATATATCATTATGCCTGAACTGCTTTGTTGTACAAATGCAATTTGATTTGCATGGCATGACCTGGTGGCTTTGTCTTTGATTTTATTTTTTTAAAATGGGTAGAATACTAGAATGTAGACTGTTATTTTGTGAAAGTTTTCTCATGTAGTAATATATAAGATCATATTGCATTAATACGGAGAATGACAACAATGACACTTTTCTTGCATGTAACACATTTCAGGTCTTGATGTGGTTCGCACTGATAGGACATTGGTTTTTTATGAGAAGCAAGAAAACTTGTCGAAACTATGGGATATTCTTGCTGTTTATGCTTGGATTGATAAAGACGTTGGCTATGGTCAAGGTGGGGGTTCATACATATTTGCATTTTTTGGACATAGACTAGTACTGTATTTTGATATTCCTATTAAATTCTGATATCTTAACTTAATATGCATGTGATAATTCCACATAACTAGCATCCACTGTTTTATGATATTTTGACTAGTTGACACTAATGTTAACCTCAACAAACCTTGCTCTAAACAGATGGCCAACTTTCATAGAATATTTAATTATTATTTGATGTGTGGTAACTTTCTATGTTTAAATAGTATGGGTTTTTGAAATCACATAGCAGTTCTTTTGTGTATTTAGTTAACTGTTTTTAAGCGTCAGTCAAATTAAAACCTCTTAATTTTCATTGATGAAAAAAAAAGTAGAGAAATCTGATCCATGAGAGAAGAATTGTTTTTAATGGGTTTAAGATTTTACATTTTACTTAATTATGTTCAATAAAAAAAAATTGCCCCCATAATATCTTTTTTGGGGAATATAGGTAAAAAAAAAAATTTTAAAAAAGAGAAAAAATGGTATTAATTTATCACTTTATTCTATTAATTTTGCTCATTCTCCTTACTAAACAAACATTAGAATTGAGTTAGTGACACAATGACACAAATGCATTCCTTAAAAGTTGTGTGCTTTTTTGAAATTTATAATATTTTTCTTTTATAAAAATATCAAAGACTATTTTCTGCCCCCACTAAGAAAATTTCTGAATCTGCCACTCCAACTTGGTTTATGCCTTTATGGATTTCTTTATGGAAAAGGAATATAATAATTCCAGGACTTACTGATTTATGTATTGATTCCCTCTGTTTTTCTTGTGATCTTGCAATAAATAATTGCTATTTGCTAGCACTATTTGCTACTAATCTAAGCTTCTGGATTTTAACATATTACAATTCTGAACAGGAATGTGTGACCTGTGCTCACCTATGATAATTCTTCTTGATGATGAAGCAGATGCATTTTGGTGCTTTGAGCGTTTGATGCGCAGACTTGTAAACATCTTATCTCTGTGCTCTATTTTATTATTAACTTATTATTGAAAAGATTTGGGGGTGGGGGGTGGATCCTATTTTTGGTAATTGGATTTTCTTCCTCTTTATGTGTACAGGGTTTTTAGAGGATCGAGTGTTGTAATTTGCATTGTTGGTATTTCTAGCAAATGTTGTATTCCTAGTATGCTTCACCTTGATTGTTCACTTTTAAATATTATCTCTTGCTTAAGTTGCACAGTGCATATAGGCTAGTTAAAATTGGCCTTAAGCTCTTTGAGGTTTGACACTAATGTTTTAATATGCAAATCCATTCATTACAATGGTCAAACTCACTGGTTTACTCTTTTCTTGAGCATACTTGGTCAGAATTTCCTGTTACAAAATTATGCCAATATCACTTCTTATTTGCCTTACATAGTTGGAACTATCCCAAATATGAAAGATGGACTTATATTTATAAAATTACAATTGAGCCTTGTTTGCAGGTATACAACTTTGAAGAGATGAATTATAAATTTATAATCTATTTGTAATTTTGTATATGTTACAGATGTAATAAAACCATTCTTGAGTTTTCACCTAACAGCTTAAGCTTTTAGGAGTTGGTTACGAAGATAGTGTCAAAGCCTCCATGATTGAGTGGTTTAGAGCTTGATCCTTGTCCCCACCATTCTTCTAAATAAAAATTGAATGTCAACACATGGTAAAAAAAAATGTGCCTGTGCATTGCATGTGCTTGAAGTAAAAGAGATCTTGTGTAATGGGGTGTGTGTTAGGGATGTAATAAACCCATTCATGAGCCTTCACCCAACAGCTTAAACATTTTGGTCAGTTGGTCATTGACAATAGCTGCTTGAAATTTTATTTAATAAGTGTCTGCACAAGGTTTCCATGTGATTTAGTTTTATGGCTACACCTTTTATGGTAGAAGCTAGTTTTTATAAGATGTATTTCATACATTCAAATTCATCTCAGTTTCTTATGATTTGTGTTCTTGAATATGTAAAGCGAGGCAATTTCAGATGCACAGAGAAATCTGTTGGAGTGGAGGCTCAACTAAGTACTTTGGCTTCAGTTACTCAAATAATTGATCCTAAACTACATAAACATTTAGGTACTTTTTTGCATATATGCTTATGTATTTTATTTGTTGCCAAATATGGATATAATCTTTAAACTTATGTGGTTTTTGTGATTGTTGTTTTAAGAAATGATGATTGCAAAAAAATGTTAATGGAAAATGATTTGTTATGATCACTGTTATGATGATTGTCATTCAATGTTGTTGAATAAATCCCTCCTTTTTTCAATTAGATTTAATTGCACTGCTTTTAATTGATGTTTGAGAAATGGAAAGTACTAATATGTTGTCATCTAATTTTGGAGCCCAGAGCATCTTGGTGGAGGTGACTATCTATTTGCTTTTCGAATGCTAATGGTTTTGTTTCGTCGAGAATTCTCCTTTTGTGATTCATTGTACCTTTGGGAGGTATGCTTGGCTTCTTTTGTACTTTGTGATATAGATATATTATGTTACATTTGTTGAACAAAAGAACATTAATTTGCTTTCTGCATATGACAAATGTGCCCTCTGTATATTATGATTTTCATTTTTTGTTTGTTTAATTATTTCATAACCTATTGTTTCACTGTTTACATTACTTTGTATTATTAGAAATTTAGAAGCTGTTGGATCAAATAACTAATAATGTATCTTGTCGTATCCTAAGTTTATGGGATTAATGATTTCCCCCGTCTATGAAAACAGTTTATGAATCACAGTTCCTTTCCATTTCTCTTTAGGAGTGGCCATCTTGGGAAGCTTTATAAAATGTTGATCAATAACTAATTACCTTAAATTTTGACAGATGATGTGGGCTCTAGAATATGATCCTGACTTGTTCTTGATGTATGAAGAATCTCAATTATCTTTTGAAAAAGCTAAGGGCTCTAAAGGAAAAACAAAGTCAATACGTCAATGTGGAAAGTATGAGAGAGAAAATTTGAAAAGTGGAGCAAAGAATGCGGAATCGCCTCTTCCTATATCTGTTTTCCTTGTTGCTAGTGTATTGAAAGATAAAAGTGCAAAACTACTCCATGAAGCACGAGGTTTGGATGATGTTGTCAAGGTTAGTCTTGTCACATCCAAGTTGGTTTAAATTAGATGGAGCAATCACTTGGATACAATTAAAAATCATTCTTATTATGACTTTTAAGGTAGCTTTTATAAAAGTCAACAAAGTTATCACATAAATGGTTGGTGATTATGAGATTATAAAAAAACTTTACACTCATTTGTTCTTGTATCTACTAACTTCCTTCTTTGCTCCTATGATGTTGTTATTCTCAGATTTTGAATGACATAACTGGAAATCTAGATGCCAAAAAAGCTTGCAGTGGGGCTATGAAACTTCACAAGAAATATTTGAAAAAGGTAGTGTTTTCTCTGCTGCTCTTTCTCACTTTTCATATCTTCTATTTCCATATAATAATAGGTGGAATAGCAAACTACATCGTTGGTAGCGACTGATTATAGTGATCAATTCCACAAAAGAGTCAAGATGTTGTAGAGAAAAATGACCCTGTTGAATGGTACACGTCAGTGCCTAGTGTCACTGCTAAATTAAATATCCATCGCCATCAACACTCTACACTGTCCGTTTTGCTTAAGGGCTAATTTTGAGAGGATTTTTGTTCTTCAAATAATATATGTATATATATATATATATATATATAAAGAGAGAGAGAGAGAGAGAAAGAGAGAGAGAAGAGGAGAGGGATCCGTTTACTCTAGGAATAAGTCTAGGTAAACTTACTCTGTTAAATAACTCATGTTCTACATCAAATTTCAACAATCCATCCATTGAATTTAAAGTTCTTAATGCATAGATCAAATCTACAAATTTTTAAAAATTTGAAAACCATTTGATACTTTGTTTCATTAATTCAAATAAATGTATAAACTGATTTTATAATTATTCGTTAATTTGAATTAATGAAATAAAGTATCAAATAAATTTTAAATTTTTTAAAAATTTGCAGATTTGATCTATACATTAAGAATTTTAAATTCAACGGTTGGATCGTTAAAATTTGGTATAAAACATGAATTATTGAACGGAATAAGCCTACCTAAAGTAAACGGATCCCTCCTCGTGTGTGTATATATATATATATATATATCGTCTTTATGCCAACATTTGAAATTGCTGCAGGCCAAGAAACCCTAGCTCATTTCTTTGTTCCCGTTCTTTCGTTTTCTAATATATTCTCATTTGGTCATCTCCTAACTATACAAGTAATTTTGTAATTGCTGCAGGCCAAGAAACCCTAGCTCCAAATACGTACAAGACAATAATCAACTTCATTATTGTCTCCGAGGGATGCAACACATTACTTGATCAACCATCAAAATACCCGAGCAACTGTTGTATGTGAAACCAATTTAATTTTTTTCTTGTGTATTCGAAAAAGTAAGATTGTATATGAAAATAGGATTGTTGTGTACAAACCATCTATTTGTACCTAAATTTTTTCATGTTGTTGTAACATCCACGTGTACTCGTTATTGCACAAAGGAAACAAGGTACAGAAAACAGCTATTCGATTTGGAGCCAATGAAATTGATTTTGATATTCATTTCTTGCTTCAAATTCAATATCTTTTTTTCTTTGTAACAATTTCATCATGCTTTAAAATTTAGTTACTCGTAGTGGAAATAAATATCTATTTACATCGATTAATATGTAAATAATATTTAAATGTGTTCAATAATAAATTTGTGTATTTTTTTTATTGACGAGTAAAATAATATTAATAACTATATAAATATATAAATATGTATAATAATTTAATACTAAAATAATAACTTTAGTTTATCAATTAAGAAACACTATAAACGATTAACTAGTTATCATGAGATATCTTAGAAGGTTAACATTGCCACACTTTAACATGGCTTGCAAAATAAATTTTGCTTCCAATTTAATTCTATCTTACTTTCATATAAATATGATTATCATAATCAAATCACAAAAATACATGCAAAGATAAGCTAGCATTCAAGAAATTATCAATATATCAAATACCAACCTCGACATATGAACCACATAACAAAACTTAATTATGATTTTCAACTTTAATAATATAACACCTCAACTCACATTATAACAATGCAACTCATCAAAAAAGCCATGTAGCATATGAACAATACAACACATCATATACACAACACCACATACTATATGTGTCATCACATATTCAATTAAGAGATCTCTTATAATATATGTGAGCAGTTTAAGTGATTTGATCCTATCAATCCAATAACAACACAATCTTTTTACACTTGTTATATCAAAAGCCAATTTGGATAAAAATTCACAACAAAATTTTCTTACACTTGTTAGATCATTAGTTAATTTGGATAAAAATCCAAAACATGATCTTTTTACACTTGTTAGTTCAATAACTAATTTAGATAAAAATCCAAAACGTGATTTCCTTACATCTGTTAGATTAACAACCAATTTGGATAAAAAAAATCCAAAATGCGATATTTTTACACCTACTAGATCAACAACCGATGTGGATAAAAATACAAAACATGATCTTCATACACCTGATAGATCAATAGCTAATTTGGATAAAAATCGAAAATAGGATCTTTCAACTTAAATAACATTCATTATATACAATCATTCAACTTAACATCACACATTCCAACTAATTCATCTCATCTTAATTCTTCTTCATACAATATTATGCACTCACAACACTATTTAACACAACATGCCTCATGTACATAACAACACAGTTTGCCACCTAATATAATTAATTCAATATGTTATTTCTTCTTTATGACATAACTTCTTTAAAAACAAAAGATGAACAACATTCGCATCACAATATGCATGTGTATATTCAACTCTCAATTTTATCATGTGATAAACAACTAACATCATAATACCATGACATACATAAACCACACATAATCTCATGTGCATTACATTTTGATAGAAACAACACAAAAGATCAACTTGTGAACCAAAGGTCTCACCGAGAGAGTCCCACCATAAGAAATTTGATTATTTTACAACAACAACCTTTACGAAAATCAACATAAAAGGTGTTGTATTGATCCCATTATCTCAACCTTTTCTCACATGAAAGATAATAAGATAGTATATAACTCTTATGAAGATCTAAAGTTTTAATTCTATCATTTACTATATTGAAAATTATAAAAATCGCAACATTTTGACTAATGTTGACAGTTTGATCTTTGCTCAATAAAAAGGTCATAACTTGAGTTCTAAACCTTCTTTTTTAGGAGATTCTAAAGCCATTTGAAAGCTAACATTTAGGACTACAACCTTCATGAATACCACAAAAGCTAATTCAATTAACATAAGGGGATCCCAAGGTGATCATAGTCGTAACAATTTCGTCACATCCATCACAAACTCTATTTTGTTATTACAAATGTTTTTTACTTTTGGCAGAAAAAATCACAGTCATGACCACTGAGTCATGCCCATAAGAAGCTCTGTTCTATTGCTTACAACATATTTCAACCTCAAGTAGTGTCAATCATGACTATGATTAACGAGTCACGCCCATGACGATTCTTGGACATAGGGTTATGAGCATATACCACTCAACAACATTTCCAAAAGAGTTCCAAACCATCCCAAGACTCATCTATAAGCCCCCAAAAATTAAATTAAAACCATCGAATTAGTATGCATCCCATCAAAATGATTCTAAACAACATATACAACATGAAAATAAGTTTAAATGCAACATGTATTCACTTAATAATGAGAGATCAACAACTTTGAATTTTGGATTTTGGATTCACCTTTTTCGCGAACCCTAACTTCACAACTTTAACAAGCACCTTAAAAAACAACAAATCAAGCCACCTATGGGCAAATCAACAACAAATTCAACAAGCAACAACTTCAAAGAATCAAACAAAAAATTTCCCTTACCTTGGATCCCTAAAAAATGAGAAATAGAATAAAGAACAAGACTTCCCGAGCCGTCATCGTACAACAACTTCTCTTTAAGATTCTTGATTCTTCAACTTGAATCTCAACTTCTAACACACCCGATCAAGGAAAAAAAAAAGAGAGAGTGAGATCTTTTCGGTGGAATCAAATTAACGATTGAACTTTCTAACTTCTCTCTAAAATTCTAGAATTATAAACTTATGAAATTTATTTTTCTAAATTAACCATATATATTTCAGTCCTCCTCAAACCAACTCTTATGCACTTAAGTTATATATTCTATAATTTAAGTTTGGAGATATCTCAACTCTAACTCAACCTCACAAAGACTAACAACAACCAAATAACATAAAATATCCTACTTATTTACATGTTATAAATATACATAATTAAGAAAAGCATGATGTTGCCCTTTTCACTAGTTAAGTATTCTTTTTAGTAGGATTGTTCAAAAAATATTGGTGAACTAAAATAAACCATAAACCAAGAGTTACAAAAAGAGACCATTTTCAACTGTCTACTTAACCCCAAAGATACAATTCGATTTGGGTGAATATTATTTTTCAGTTTAGTCTCAAGCAAGTTCACAAAATAGTGTTATTACAATCAGTCAGACAACCCAAGCACCAGTGTTTACAAAAATGTGAAACAGGATAGAAAATAAAATAAAAAATAAAAATAAAAACCCAAAACAGCTTATTTTGAGAGCAATTTTTCTCCCATGTTAGACCTTATTTGACCGATCTGACCGTTAAAAACTAAGAATCGTGGTAGTATAAGTTTATACTACTCAAATTATTGCATATACAACAAGTGTTGGATTTCAAATGAAGTTCTTGTAATAGGGACTTGAGCAAGACCCAGCGCTGCTTCTTCGATCGATGTAAGGTTGTGCCCGAGAAAAACAAAAACACAATGTGGACTTCCTATTATCAATGTAAGAGCCCCAATAGTCAAAAATAATTTTACATTATAATTTAAATTATTATTATAAATTTAAATATAATTTATATGTTTAAAATTATTTATTTATTACAAATTTTAATTATAAAATAATTTTTATATTTAATAGTATTCATTATAAATTTTGGTTATATATGTAATATTTTTAATTATAATGTAAATTATTAATTACAAATATAAAATATAGTTTATATGTTGAAAATATGTGCTTATTATGAATTTTAATTATAAAATAATTTATATGTTTAAAAGTGTTTAATTATTATCAATTTTAATTATATAAATAAACAATTATTTTGTATACTGCATGCTAAATACTAGTTATAATATAAAACATAAATGCATGCAACTAATAGCGTTATTTTCATCTTTTGTTTTCTCATTTTACTCTTCTGATTTTTAATATTTCAAAATACCCTAGTATTTTGCAATTAAGAATACATGCAAGTGGAGTTGGTCCAACAATAACTAAAGCAAACTTTGAAAAAGAATTTTTTATTTAAATAAAAAATGTGTATCTAGGATAGTTTTTCCCATAGTTTTAAAAACCGGACCGGTCATCGAACCGGTTAAGGTATTGGGTCAGTGGGTCAAAGGTTGAACCGGTGGGTCACTGGTTGAACCGCATGACTCGATTTTTATTAAAAAATATTTATATTAAATATATTTATACTTATAAATTTTAATAAATTCATATCTTATTTTAAATTTAAATTTTTTTATCTTATTTAAAATTATTTTTATTTTTATTTTGTAAAAAAATACATAAAAAAATTACATGTTAAACGGTATATTAATACAAATTAAAAATATAAATAATATGTACATATATAATATGCTTGCAATTAATATCACAAAATAATATATGTAATATTTACATAGATATTGCATTATTAAATATATAATTTAAAATTAATAATATACTATAAAAGTTATTTAAGTTGTATATATTGCAAACAAATATATTAGAACAAGTAGTCATTGTTATATTTAATAAGACTCCTT